GCAGATAAAAAATAAACGAATAGGGATAAGCAACATCAACTTAATGCTGTTTAAAAGACATCTCAAGCAATATAAGTTATACAATGACAGATTTGCGTGCGCACGTAAAATAAGTATTTATACCAGCAAAAACGGCGTCTTTAGTGCAATCTATGGACCAAGGAACAATTGCAACATTTAAAGCATACTACTTAAGAAGAATTCTTGCACCGGCGATTGCTCAAATAACAAGTCATGATACTTTATATACTGTATTACTTTGCTTATAATAAATCGTTAGTCAATAATACTTTTTGATTACTCTTAGCTATTATTGCATATAAAAAAACTGAGAAAAAAAGTACCATTTCGAAATTTTCATTAGGCTATTGGGATGAGACCAATTAAATGAATTTGAATATTATAATAGTTTAAAATAGCACGATTTTAAATAGTACTAATAGCGACCGGCTAGTATACAACTTTGTTACTTACTGAATTGTTCTGGTCGTGACCGGTTAACCGTGGAAGGGTGCGTCCAACCGAGGAGGCAGCTGCTCATAGGCGGTAACGAGGGCTGTCGACCTTCCCGTTTCATCAACGTCAGCGCACTCGAGACCGTATTCTTTGTACTCCTTCCAGCCCCCAAGCGTCGTTTCGCCTGAGCCAAATCTACCCCACTTTCAACCATTTTAGCTGTATCTTCGCCTATTACTGCAGCAACCACAACGCAATCGGGCGAACATTTCTCGTTTGACCAAGAACGGATTGTGGTTGTCGTCGTCACTCCTCTTGGAATCGTTGTCTTGGAATCGAGTCCACCATCAGTGGCATCGTCTCTATCGATTCGAGGACCAACGAAATTTGGGATTATCGACATGCTCGATGTCCTGGTGGTCTCCACAATGTCTAGATCCCGAGGCCGGCAGAGCCGATTGCCTTTCTGAAGCCATGAATGTCGAGTCTGCCTCCATGCAGAGGCGCAATCTGTAGCCGAAAGAAGCCGATGAGATGCAGCTATGGAGAATGAAAGGTCAGTGGTGAGCGAGGCGGTGGTAGTGGTACAGTTGTTCGAAGAGGAAGAGCAAAGTGACGCAGGCGTCACTTCCCGGATGTATCTGGAGGTTCGGTCAGACGTGGGCGGTTCGGAACGCTGGCGAGCAGTATTACTTTGGGGAGGCAAGCTAGAAAGACGCAACGGCAAGGACAACTGTTGTTTGTGTTGTGGTCTCAGATGCGGTTTGGATTGTCGCTGTTGTGGATGGTGCCAGAGGCCCTGGGAGGCAGGATTTAAGCCGACCAGAACAAGGTTAGCGGCCGGGCCAGTCGGTGGTTGTCCGCTTGCGAGAGAATTCGCCGAAGGCGTCTCAGAGGGGCTGTGCGAACTGTAGGCCACGACGGAGCTGGTAGGCTCGAGCCGGAGCGTCTCTAGTGTAGAAGTGCAGATGCAGGCTGAAGAAGTGATGGGAGAAAAGGAGGGCAAAGACAAACGACGGTGATGAAAAAATGAACATAAAAAGCAGATTAAAACGAAGTAGTGCTCGAAATGTTACCTTGCTTTGAAGTTATGCCACAGAACAGAGAGCCCGTCAAGGATACGTCATGTATGGAGGACCTAAACAGCCCAAATAATGAAACGCCTGAACAAACACTGAAAACTGACTGCCGAAATTATTCAACAGAGATTTTAGAAAAAAATGAAAATCATCTCATTCGAAGGGAAGCTGGGGTTCTATAAATCTCTTGAGATAACAATGCTGTGGAGACTTTCATTGTGTATTAAAGATTGATACTTTGACTTACACACGTACAGACGTTAATAACCACACACACACACACACACACACACACACACACACACATATATATATATATATATGCATGCATTCAGACGTA